TTTCTGGGGTCGGTCAGAATATTTTTTGAAATTATAACTAACAACGAGTAATAGATATTGTTTTTGCGATTAAAATTCCAGAGCTGAATTGCCAATGTAATCTATGAGGTCTGCATTTGGAGCTGAGATGACAAGCGCAATGTTGTCAGTAAAACCAACCAGCCTCAGTACTATTTGGTACTTCAGCCGCAGTAGATCATCGTAGAAAATATTCCATAAGCGACTTCCAATGACCGATCCCAGCGGAACACCACACGATATTTCCCGCGGGGGGTGATATCCTCACACACCCCATAAAAAATTACTGCTGACACCAAAATATTTTGATCCAGAATTGTATTGATATGCAGTATAATCTCGGTAATCCGACACACATCAGACCACGCTACTGCCGGATTAACGAAAACGGCAGATTAACGGGGGTTTACATAAAAACACATTTTTCTATTGAATTTTCCATTTTTACATAACAAAAACGATTTTTAAATTTATCTAGCCTGCCGTCACTAGCTTGAAAATCTTCTTTGTGCGTGATTTTTTCGTAAAAAGACTTAGCTTTCTCTTTCGAAATTTCGCCTGAAATAGGTGTACCTATGTCGATGACGTTCTTGCTAACACCATAAGTACAAGGCATCTTCGACTTCAGGAAACTCATCAGTTTTTAATGTTTTGCTCATACTTTTCAAGCTTTTGTTATTTTTGAAAAAATACTTTATCTTTTCACTATTTTTTCTTATATCATATATTGTAGCATTACCTACTCCAAATTCGTTGTCGAGGTTTTCTAACTTGTCACCATTTTCTATTTTATTTAAAATTTCTAGTTTTTCAACTAAAGTTAAAGTAGTATGTTTTTGTTTTCGTTGTTGTGACATTTTAATGTAACTGGATGTAACGGATTATCGAAAGGCCCGATTACCGAGGTTATACTGTAATTTATTAATTTAACGACCATAAGCAAACAGAAATTTACTGTATTTCAATTCGTAGTGATGCTTTCGTAAAGTATTTATCCAAATAACAATACTACGCCTAAAAAACTATGCGTAAATAACTACTCCTACGTATATTCCAAATTCTGAAATGTTATGAAACGCCGGAGTCAATAATAACATATAATATATTTGTTTGTTATTCATAATTAGTGTTTCCAGTTTAGTGTCATAACTATATTTGTATTGCAAGGTAGTAATAAATAATAATTATCATAAAATAAATACTTCTTTATTATTATTATTGTTAAGTACATACATTTTATTTCAGTAAAAACTTTATTATTTGATAATTAATATTTGCTTGCACAACTATTAATAGATGCAAAGTTGCGACATTATAAATCAATTAATAAATAATGATGTTTGTTGTGGTTTTTATGGTTTTTTCATTTTAGTGTATAATTACTATTTCAGTGTTCCAATGTATATTTTCATAAAAAGTCATCAGTTCATGTAAACAACGTTATCGGAATGACGACTGTTTTTCACATAACCTTAAGACCTATTTTAGTTTTATTCAAGTGTATAGGACTAATTGATATTTCATATACCGTGAAACCAACAGGATTATTAGATCGGAATATAAACTCAACGTTCCCTGCATTTCTAGAAATAACACGAATGATTTTGTTTTTTGCATGCACTTATGTTTATTTGTCTGCGTATCATCCAGGATTTCACATACTTCAAATAATAGTTGTACTGAAATTTTGGATTATCATTATCGCAGCTAGACTATCAACATTATGGATAATCAAGTATCTAAATTTTATTTTTATTTTTTATAAGTTATAATTGAAGGACGTACAATGCAATTGTTTGATATCTTGTACGACTCAAGTAAATGATAGCATAGTAAATTTTTAAAGTAGAATATTAATATAAGATGCCATCTGTATACCAGAAATGCATAAAACTGTTATTACACACTAACCACAAGTACGATTCATGCTATTAGAATTGTTACCTACATTTTTTTTGGTGGGTTATGGTCTTTAAAACCATTCCTGCAAACAGTTTTGCCGCCATCTATCTTCTGCAATTTCTCTCTATTGTACATTTAGTTCTACTGCCTTATTATATTTTTTGATACGATCCTCCTGTCGTAACCTTGGTTTACCTAATGATCTTTTCCCCATAGAATTTTCTTTAACAACCACCCTAATAAATGAACAATCTTTTCTAGAAAAGTGCTCAGCCCACATTATCCTTTTCCTTGTAATTTCTGCAACAATGTTTGATACAAGTCTTCGATTCATCATTATGACGTATCCTCTATTCTTCAGTGTCAGAATTGATACACGGTCTATAAATTCTTCTTAGAATTGTCCGTTCAAACACTGCAAGTCTTGTTTCTTCTAACTTTCTTAGAGTCCACCTTTTAGAAGCATACAAAACTACTGGCCTCGTTAGGCTTATATACAATAGAATTTTGAATTTTTTTTGATAAAATTTTTGAGCCAAACGTACTTTCTAAGCCAAAATAACATCTATTTCTCATTTAAGTCCTTGTATCCATCTTCACGTCACTGTCTTGGGTTATTATGGGTCCTATTTCCAAGGTATTAAAATGTGGCCTTTCTTTAACTAATGGTGGTCTATCTCCATAACCTCTCCTTGTTGGTATTCTTTACTTCTTATGGTGTACTCCATTTTTTTGTCGTTATTTCCTATACCGCGCTTGCCTGCAATATTTATTAATTTTCTACAATGCTGTTTCATAGTACCTTAATTATTTCCCATTAGGATTAAGTCTACGGCTTTTGCTAGCAATCATATTGTCGTGTTCCTATCGTAACTCCATTAACAACATTTAATTCTCTGCTTATTTTTTTTTAAGCTAGATTAAAGAAAAAGGGAGGAAGAAGATCTTCTTATCTTAAGCCCATTAATACTCTTACTACATTTGATGCTGCAATTGAAATTTCAACTTTAATTGAAGTTTTTTTAAAGCCAGATTTTATAAAATTCACTAGCCTTATTGGGAATTTAAATTCATTTAATATGTTGACTAAGGTTGGTCTAAGGATTGAATCATGAGGTTTATCAAAATCGATAAATAGGATTTAGTCCTTTGTTATATTCAAATGACTTGTATGCAATATAGAGAGTACAAAAGAACTGATCTGTTGTAGATCTATTGGGTCTAGAACCTCCCTGGTAATCTCCCAAAACATCTTCTGTTTGAAGTTTTATAAAATTAAGTACACAATATGCCAAAAGTTTATACTTCATATTTATCAGAGCAATATCTTTATAATTTATGCAGTCTTGAGAGTCATTCTTCTTATGTAGGTATAGGATATATTAATGAAAATATTTTCCAGCCTTCCGGGAGTCTCTCATTTTCCCAAATCAACTAAATTATAACTCGTTAATTCGAGATATTGTTTCTTCGTCTACTCTCTTCAGAATTTGTGCTTGAATACCATCTTCTCCTGGGGATTTATGGTTTTTTAACCTATTTACTAGTAAAGCAATTTTTCGTTTATTTCTTGTATCCTCTTCTTGTCAGATTTATCTTCTGATAGTTATCGTGCATTATTCAATCTTAAATTTTGCATTCTCTCATAACTCATTAAACTATGGCTTCTTTGTTTTTTTTTGGTTAACCCAAAACGGTTCATGACACTGCCTTTATTGTGGCTCTCATTTTTCCCCATTTTTCGCCAATTGTCACTATGATATCAAAATTTTTAAAACACCACCTTTTCTCATATTTATCCATCATAGTTCCTGTAGATTGAGCGTGATTTCTAAATCTTACTTCAATTTTTCCTTTAACAAGAAAGTGATCAGTCACTATCTTGTCCCCCTTACCGTCCGAACACCTTGGATACAGTTGCTGAATCTCAAATTTATTATTAATATGATTAATCTGATTCATATATTTTCCGTCCGGTGAGCTCCAAGTTCCTTTAGGTATCATCTTGTGCGGGGACATTGTGCTATTTACTACTAAACCTCTTTCAGTTGCCAAAAAAATTACTATTAATCCGTTACCATTACTTGTGGCATGTAAGCTATGGCTTCCTATAACCGGTCTGTATGCGACCTCTTTCCCAACCGTCTCATTCAGATCACAAAATTCAATTTGAATTCTTCTCCTTCGTCTTGTGTTTAGTGTGGTTATTACATTCTCGTGAAAAAGTCCTTCTCCCTTTGTTGTTTTTTTGTTTATCTTCTGTAGGTTTGTGTAAGTTAACGAAACTAATTTCGATTCACTGCATCAACACAATTAGAACTGATATTCTAGGATTTAAATCTTTGAAGTCCTTTACTGATGTTATTAATCTCTTATGCACCATGAAACCTGTATCAAATTGGCGTTGATTGTTATATTTTCCCTATAATTGGTAACATTAATACGTTTTTATTATTTTTGTTTGCAGATTTATAAATGGAATTATCGAGTTTGATCGAAAATGTACATCACTTTCAACTAATTTGTTAACACCACAGCGTTCGTGGACAAAAAAACATTGGAATACGATTTTTATTTTGGTATTCGTATACTTTATCATATTTAAGGCCTTACATTTGTATTCTCGGCCCATTAAAATTGAAACACTTAAACATTTAAACATTTTAATGTTGTGCAACCATGCAATATTTAATGTACCATATGCTATGGATTATTTATTTACGATATCTTCATGTTTCTTTCTTCAAAACATTTATATCAGATTCCAGAAGTTAAACGATCTTTGGAAGTGTCTACCTGACGATTTAGTCCCCGTTTCCGGACAATGGACTCACATAGGAATAGTGGATTTGATGGAAAACACGCGGCTGTTACATTCCGAACTCTGTGAATTGCTAAAAATATTCAATCTTGGTTATGGTCCAATACTTTTGGGATTCTACACAACTAACTTTATCAATTTGCTAGTCAGTGTTTATTTCATTGTCAATGGTGAAATATTAAATATCTTACATTCGAAATTAGAAATTTGGGATCTATTATTACCGCTACTTATCCAGACACAAATTGTGACATTTTTGATGTCTATTATCGTCTTTGTTTCATTCATAAATGATAAGGTAATTCAAGGGATTATTCAGCATGCTTACTTTGGTGTTATTCTTAACCATAAATTGTTTTTTTATATCTCGATCAATGTCGAGCTCAGATAACAAAAAGATAACCGGATACAGATAATGATTAATCTTCCATGATATGATGTATTGAATCAAAGATGCAATTTCATATATAAAATGCACAAAACTTAGTATTTACAAATTACAGCTTAATTTTTATAATATTGAAACAATATAAATACATATTATTACTTTATAATTAAATATTTTAAACAGCCTACTTATGTTTAAATATAATTACAAATCAGTGCACCTACTGTATATTTGAGAAAAGTAATTATTAATTAAACATAATTAATAATTATTAACCATACATACAAATAGAAAATTATCAATCTTAGTTTATGTGTATGCATTTTCACTTCAGGTGCATAGTTTTGGAAATATTTTTAAATAATAATTATTATTTATATTCTATAAAAATATAAAAAGCATCATTCAGCTCTTATTCATCCGCAAATGTTTGGGAACAAATAATGCATCTAATGCTCTAAGTTGGGAACCTTATTTTTAATATTAAGAAAAGTTTTAACTCTTAGATCATAAGTGGTGAATCCACTTCCTTAGGTGCATATCAAATAATTTATTCTTAAATTACTAATTACATACAATTGTATGTACAGAAAAACCATATAGAGTCAAAATAAATGTACTCCAATAATCATAATTTGAACAAACAGTTAAATGCTTCATATTTTAAAACTTAAAATAGAATTAATTTTACAGAAAATTGAGATGATATCATATCTACGGTTGTACCGAATTTCAATTTTACACTTGGACATAAAGCGACAAGTAAAATATATTTTTATGTTGTATTCATACTTTATATTATATAAATCTAGGTCAGATATAATTTTCTTATTTGGTTACTTTTAATGTTTTAAAATACAGATCAAAATGTTCATGAATCAAATATTTATATGTGATTCGGACGCAATATCGGCATTTGGATTTTTCGATATCAATTTAAATCTTGTAACGACAGTGAGTTTATTATTATTTCTTGTAAACCATTCATTTTATCAAATTTCTTTTTCGTCTGTTTTATCGTTTTGTTTTGTTTTACGCTATTTGGACGCAGGAAAAATTGGACTTGTTATAATAAATCAATTATAATATAATAAATTAAGTAGTAAACATTATTAATTAAAATACAATATCAAAAACAGTTAACTATATCATATTTTTTATTTACTTAAAGTTCTTGTTTCTGTTAAAGTATACATACTTAATCAGCTCTAACTACTTAGGCTAAATATATGTTTAAAATTACAAAATTTCTTTTCTAAAGTATTCAGAGATGGTTAGAGAAACTGGGTGAAGCCATTCAAGTTAAGATATTGTATACTGGCTATGCTGGAACATAATAACCTAACCTAATTTTCATATACATTGTTTTTCATTTTTTGTTTGTTTACAGATACTCGTATTATTGACTAGTGGAATAATCACATTGATACAAATGAAAAATCATCCAATGATGGAAAAATTTAAAAATGACACTTTATCCTACATTTTACACAAATTTTAAAAAATATTAAGTAATAGTAATTTATTTTATTTGCAGTTATTATAATAATAAATGATGACATTGAAGTAAAACAATTTTACTTGTTATTATTATTTATTAATCTTTTACTTTAATAATTTTTGTTTCATATTAAGGTATTAGAACAGTGCTGTAAATAGACTATACTTGATGAATGTGTGCAGTGGTGTATTGCTAAAAATATTCGTGTTTATACGATTTCTTGTCTTGGTTTAATCTTAGATTTCAATAATTTAATGTTAACATTATGTCAAAAAATGTTTTTCTCCTTTCTCTCGAATACACTTCCAATCCTCAGTATAAGTATGAGATTAGAACTATACAAGTATTTTTATACACTTAACTGAATGATAAACATTCAGTACCTATGGCAATGCGAGGTAGCAGGGAAGATACGAGTACAGCGATACATTGTATAGATTATTGTATTTTTTCTAAAAGACGCCTACATCACTGCGAGATGTTGTTACGCAGACCCCGTGCTGTTGTATACCCAGTTCTTGTCTAGTAGGATAAGCTCTATGATATATCTGATATAAGGCCTATGTTTAATGTATAACCGTATAGTATTATATAGATTATTATATAGATTACCTTCACGCCAGTCAGTCAGTATTTTTGACTTAAAATAATTTTAAACAGTTAATTATTTGGACTTAGAAAATATTCGATTCAAACCGATATTTCCTGAACACTCTGAATAATTCCCTGCGACGAATATTCTTGTACAGAATAGTCAATCCACAGTTTAAATTACATCTGGTTTTATTAAATATTAATAAACTATACTACATTTTACATCGGCGTTGCAAAATTAAATCAAATACACCTCATCCTATTTCTCTCAGCGACACATGTAGTCACCAGACCTCTATAATAGCTACAATCTATGTAGTTATATATGATAAAAGATACAGTAAGTTAAAGTTATATTAAAGAATAAATGTTTTTGTTATGTTAGTATGAAGGGAGTGGTTAATTACTCCAGTGATATCACTTCAAAGAGGGCAAGGTTGACATAATTATTTTACAAACTTTTAAGTTAAAGCTTGGCAATGCAAAAAGACTTATCATCTTTTAAAATTACTATTATTATTTTACAATGTTTTTGGATATGTTCATAAAAATGTAATATTATAAGGTGTTTATCTAATAAACACATTTCTGAATTTAATTTATTGCTATCAATATATTAGTAGGTAAATATAAAATATAAGTATCTAGCTAGAAGTGTAATAGAATATTGTTTACCGATAAAAATTGTCAAAATCAAGAAAATTTGTTAGTCATTTTGCAATTAAAAGTTCTGTATATTTTGAATATCCATAAGTCATAACGAAGATTCTAAAATTTAATACAAGGTCCATCGTAAGTTGCAATTGTTTTAATTTTTTTTTTTAAGTTGAGCATCTCAAGTATCCTTCAGGAGTTTTCAGGCATTGAGTCTGAGTTAAGTGTTGAAATTAGTGGATTTTTATGGTTTTCTGTTTTAGGTATATAATAAGAAATAATATTATTTGCATGCTTAAATGGTGTTTTAAAATGGTTCCAACCTTAAATTGTATCTTTTTTAAAATGTATTTCAACAGTATCCATCCGGTTAAACCCACATAGTGTGGCTTTAACTCCCACACTTTTCTCATAAAGATCGTGGGCTTATATTTATAGACGGAATCTTCTTTTCTGGATTATAATATATTATAAATACTAAAAACTTTTGATTTTCCTGCGCATCAAATAATTACGTATATTGTAAATTGATACATCCATATGTGTTGTATGATTTCAATAATATTTACATTAATATTCACAATACGTGTGAAAAAGCTAGGATAACCATAAAATAACATTAATAATTGATGCCTGATAATTATGTTATATTATTTACTTATATATTTTTAACAAAAATAATTTTTGAAATAATGTTGAACCGATGTAGGAAGTACATTCAAACCATTGAAAAATGAATACATATTTTATTCATTTATTTTATGCCAAACAGTAACTGACGAAATCAAAAAAAATATTGTGTAACAAGTGCGATAATTGAATCAGAATATAATTATGAATTAAACAAACTAAAAGCATAAATTAAACGTATTTAAGTAGGTGATCATTAACTTATAAAGTAAGGCATATTATCATTATTACTACAACGCATAAAGCAGCCTATGTAGTGGGGATACATATGTATAAATTCTATTTATTACAACCTTTTTAAACTTTTTTAATTTAAATTCCATCACTACTTTTTCATAAGCTGAAAAAATTTAATTCAATCTGTTAATTATTTTTACCTGAAAAATATTTTAAATCAGCTGAGTCATATATTTAATTTAAAGTAATGATCACTATTTTATCATATTATACAATTAAAATACAATTTACAAAAAAAAACCTAAATAAAATATAAAATTGATATTTATAATGATTTAAAATCAGCTTTTGAGAATTCCATTAGGCAAATATTTTTTCTTTGAGTGACCAAATAATGGAGCTAAGATATTTTAGACATGTTTTTTATTTAAAATTTCTGAGGTTATTAAGTTCGTTAAAGCTGTTTGATTTTATGAAAGTGAAATTTTGAATTTCAAATAGATCTACTGAAGTGTATGCATTTAGATATCAGTCCCTAAAGAATTGATCTAGATTTTAGTAAAACAAAACTATCATGGTTTAGTAGTTAAATTTAATTCAGCGTTTCGTTGAGCCTATACTTGGGCATTTGGTAGAAATAATGATTCTTCTATCGTGGTGTTTTATTGGTGTCCAATATATAATTTGTGAATTGTGTTTGGCAAATTCAGTCAAATTTACATTATAATATCTTACCTTTATTTCGCTGTTTCCTCCACCTAATTTTCCGTCCAATGTAAGCTGAATAATTTTCCTCGAAGCTTCACAATTATTTTCTATTACTTTTTGTTTAGCCCCAGCACTTGTTACTTACTTACCGTAGCGAATTATTTTAACCTAGGATTTTAGATTATGAGACACATGCCCCAATGCTGTGGGACATAAAATTGAAATAGATTTTATGTGGTATAAGTAGGAATTTTAAATTGACATTAACCTGACATTGTAAACCCAACAGTTTAAGTCCGTCTTTCACAAGATATGACCCACCACTAATTCAAACTCAAAAATACACTTGTTCAGCGTATGAATACAAGAAATTTGAGAGAAGTATTACCGCGAAGTCATGTGTCGACAAAATTAAAGGAAAGACTTAAAATGGATTCGCACAATGTTATTTTATTCAATTCATGTGAATAAGCGGAGAGCTATCTATGGAATAAGTTTGGTTAGGCAAAATATAAACGGTCTAGAGAATGTAAAAGAATGCATTTTTTTAGATTAATTAAAGTAATGTGAATCAATAAGGACATGGTTAAGACTATATTTGATGAGTTAATTAAGTATGCGCTCAAATATTTTTGAGAAATACGAGATTATGGTTAAAGGTTTATCGTTAATGACTTCAGAAATATGACCATAAGTACATATTTGAAAAAGATATTCTGGGGTAAATGCTAAATTATTAAATAATGTGGAACCTCTGTACCTCAGTCCCTACCTCCTTCTAATTAACTGAAAATACACAACAAATATACGTACATGAAGTTGGCCCCCCACATTCTGCAATTTTTTCAAACAAATTGTAAACAATTGTAAATTAATTATAAATAATTGTAAACGCAATCCCCGAATTTGTAAATCATCTGGACCCTTGGGAAATAAAAAAACAAGTTGAGGGGAGGGGGGGACAAATTCACGCAGCCACCCCACAGAGGTAGTCCGATCGAGTTCAATCAAATTGTAAAAATTATGCTAATGTTGAGTTATCGAACCCTTATTGAAGAAATTAAAAATTTTATTTTTTTTAATCACTTAGCTAATTTTTATGCATTTATAAAAAAAAATTACAAATTTCTAAAAATTTCTCAAGTCTATTTCTATCCCAAAACGAGTCAAAATATTATGAAAATATTACCATTCATTATAAATGCTAATATAAATATTTGGTGAAAATTTCGGAGGTCTGTGGTTATTAGTTTTTTAGTTACATCAAAAAAATAAAATCGACTTTTTCAAAAATTACCGATTTTTTATTGGTTTTTCTTGACGCTTTCTAAAACTATTTGGTATTTTCAATTTCCACCTCCCAAAAGTACCAACGAGGTTCACTTTTCTTTCAGAACAGCTACTGATCTCAAAAATCGAAGCATGCTTTCTATCCAAAATGTTGCTGACAGACAGAAAAAAAAACACATCATTGTAAACCCAATACATTCTTTCGCTACGCTCAGAATCTAAAATACAAAATTGAAATACCTTCTGAAAAACTAATGTATGTATTATACTTTTCAAACAATATATTAAACAATTTTCAATTAATTTAAAAAAAAAATTCAAAGTAAAAATGAGCGTAGGTACCTACATATTGATAGAAGTAGTCCAATCGAGTTCGAACAAATTGTAAAAATTATGCTAATGTTGAGTTATCAAACCTTTATTGAAGAATTTAAAAAAAATATACTTTTCTTAATCGCTTAACTAATTTTTATGCATCGATATGCTGATTATTTAAATAATTTATCTTTTAGTTGTTTATTTTAATATTATTTAATTGTGCCAAACTCTTCCATTGACTATAAGCGATAAATTGTTTTTTACTATCACATATTATGTGATATTTATTAGGACTTTAGATGGTCTTCATTGAAGTTATTAATGTTATTACTCTTGAGTACGTTGCTACTTATAGTTGTGAATTGTGATATTTCTTTTTTATATAATAGGTTAGTTTATATCATAGATTTTGCTCGATTTCCACAAGCTGCTGTTTAAATATTTATATTAGCATTTATAATGAATGGTAATATTTTCATAATATTTTGACTCTTTTTGGGATAGAAATAGACTTGAGAAATTTTTAGAAATTTGTAATTTTTTTTATAAATTCATAAAAATTAGCTAAG